TCCTGCCTCCCCACCTCCTGCCACTTTCCTTCCCTCTTAGGGGGATGCAATACCTTGGGGCTGGCGAGAGGCGAATATTTGGGACCCCACGTGCCAAAAAAAACCCCAAACCTAAACAGCTCCAGGGTTTTGATGTGATAGAATAGCACAGGATCCATCACAATCGCCTTTTGCAGGACTCGTTGCCTTTTGCAGGACTCGTTGCCTTTTGCAGTCTTTGCTGCAATCAAATATTACAAGATTTGGTGCACGCCACGGGATTTCTTGCCCTGAACACGTTGGAATTTGGGGCCGTTTTGCGTTGCAGGACTTGTTGCATTTTTGCACCATTTTGTGCAGCCGAGCACTGCCGGATCCTCCGCTTGCCGCAACCGCTGCCGCGGGATTTGCTCCCCTTGCCTGCTGCAGGATTTGCTCCCTCGGGCAGGATTTGCCATAATCCCTTTTCGGGGGATTTGTTGCCTCTGCCTTTTGTGGGATTTGTCGTCCTCACGCTCTGTAGGATTTGAGGGGTCTTGGAGGGGACTCGACGCGCCGGCAAAGCGCCGGATTTGTGGCGGATTGAAGGATTTATTCCGCGTTGCAGGATTTGTCACCCTCCCTTTTGGGCTCCTCGTCTTCGCAGCTCGCTGAGGTTGCACGTCGTGGATTCCTCACACGCCAGGAGATCTCCACGTGGCAGGACTCGCATCCCGCGGATCTCCACGGGCTGCGTTCCAGCAGCAAAACCCTCACTGGGTTCCTCCTTCCTCCTCCAGATCCGCGCCCAAAGACGCCGTCGCCTTCCACGTGCAGGGGACGCCGGGCGTGAAGCTCTACGTGGTGCACGAGACGCAGAGCGTCAAGTTGCCCTCCAGCATGGGCCGCTGGCCGCTGGCCCCCGGCACCGAGGTGCTGCTGGCCATGGATGCTCTCAGCAAGGACGTCGGCGATGAAAAGGTGGGTGCTGGTGGGCGCCGGCAGGATCCGGCCCTTCGCTGAGCGTCATCGAGCGCCCGCTCCTTGTTGCAGGTCAGGATTTCCTATTTCGGGGAGGCCTGTGGGGTGCCCATGAGCAGAGCCATGTTGTACCTCACCTGCGTGGGTAAGTTGAAAGGATGGGGACCCCTAACCTGTGGTGCCAATGGGGACCCCCCCTCCCAGCACCCCTCTCCCCACAGAGGTCTCGCTGGACGCCGACCCCAGCCGCAGCGGGGCGGGGGCGC